CTACACGGAGTATAGGTTTGACATCGATCTCCTGCCCATCTGGAGCATGAGCAGCTTCAAGCTGCTTCATCACCGCAACATCGTCGGAGCTCGAGTACATCAGGCGGCTACCCTTGGCCGGTTTCTGCATTCTGACTGGCGCTCTTCTGAACGACATTCTTCAACAGTAAGGGCAGAGAATGAGCAAAAGAAACAGTCGTTTTTAGGGCTTTTCTAACTCAATATATCCCAGCCCCTATATAATCACAATCAGAAAAGCGGAATCAACTACCTTTCTTGCGGCCTAGTTTTAGTACCATATTAGCTACAGAGCGAAGCATTGTCTCTTTTCCTGTTCCAGCCCTGAAAATTGCTCCTCGATAAATGGCTTGCTGGGGAAGAGAATTTTGAACTGAATCTCGCCTTTGCGTCCCTTGAACAGGGTTTTCCCCCGTTCTGCGTTCTTGAAGGAATCCATGAAAGCTGGGAAGAGTAGACAAATAAGAGAGGAAAGTATAAATTTTGATACTTGCTTGCTCTCTGTTTCTCTTTCTGTAGCTTCAATGGGGTTCCGGCGCAACAGTCGTCCATTTTGGTGGACGTGGCCACAAACTTATGCTAACGCGCGCCGTTGCGTTGGAAGACGTCACGGCGGTCGGTCAGGTCGGGGGAAAGGAATACCTCTCGTCTCGTCATGGAATTGGATAAAACGGAAAAGGGGGAAAACTGTGCGTTTAAGACTTTACCGGCAAATTGCTAATTTTGGGGCGGAACTTTGTATTTCCGTTTCGCTTCTACAGATTTTGGCTGACCTCACTGCTCATTTCTTTTGCTCCCTTGTTCCGGGTTTCTCCCGCCATCTTCCACGGCACCGACTGGGCATCTAACGCTTCTTCTCGCCGTCCGACAAATTCCCCGGCCAGGTCATTCATCCTCTACCTCTGCGTAATTGTGAATCTTGTTTTTTCCTTCTTCATCTGCTTATCAGGCATAAGCATTGTCATAAGGGAAAAATTGCTTCCGGAATCCGAGCAGACGGTGACGAATTCTAGGGTTTTTTTGTATTTGATGTGCTTTTCGAGAATCGGAGATCGCGGCTGCCGTTATGCTCCTTTTAGGATCGAATGCGCGTCGTTTATAAAAAATCGTTCTTCGAAAAGAACAAAACAGCGTTTTTTCCCCTTTGTCTCGGCGCCAAAAATTGCGCGTGCTATGGCGCCAGGACCGGTTTCATGTGCCGGAGAATCGGAAGGGCTGGGGAGAAATTGAGATTAACGGAGTTGGAGAAATTCTCTGAGCATCAGTGACTATTTTTCTGGACCGATGATTTTTGTTTTGTTTTCCTTTTCTTGATTGATGATTTGTGCAGTGGCTGTTGTTTCAGGATGAAAGAAACTCCAGTGAGTCGGGAGGATGCACAGACCAAAGAGGGACCAGACTACTTTGCTTACTATGCATCTCAAGTTAAGGAGTTGATCTCACAAGAGATAGATTTCCCTTTATCAACCATTGAATCAACTGGAACTAGGACTGGCGAGGGGGTAGACCATGATGTGGTTGAGCAGCGTGGCTTCAGTGGTTCACGTTCGTTGTTCAGCAACAGCATAGGAGCTGGAGTTTCAGAGTACAAGAAGGAGAGGTTAAATGCATTGCTTCCACAGGCTGCAAGCGCTCTTAAACCCGAAGTGGATGAGGTATGGCAACCAATCGGAACGGTTTAATTCGCTACACTTTTCGCTAAGGTTCAATCTTCTTTCCCTTATGCTGTCAACTGTAGTGGATAACGGAAGGATGTGTCCCATGGTGTGCAGCGTTAATTGTCATTTTGATACTTTGCTGCTCAGAGTCGGGATCGTCTTCATCTCTTTCCATACAATAAGTTCAGTACAGAATTGAAGCATAAAGCATTGATCTGATACTTGAACTGTGAATATTGTAAATATCACTGTGAGTGTTTGTGTTGTGTATGTGTGTCTGTTGGTATAGTCAGAAAGTAGCATGACTTGAACCCGAAAATATCTCATGTTAGCGTATTGAAAGTTTCTATGTCTTTACTTTCTTGCTTTTCTCTGAGCACTGCCTAGTTTATATGTACTTGCATTCATATAAACTGAACCGTATTGGTATGCGGATCTACCCAGATGCTCGATCCTGTTATTTCGATGCGTCAGTTACAAGAGAAACTGTGGAACAGAGATTCTGCTGCAGGAAAGGAAGGCACAAAATCTGATGGAGAAGAGATTGCTGACAACATACCTCAGGTCTCATCTTCATCTTCAAGCAGTATCACTGCACTTGTGTGTCCTATCGATTCTAGGTCCTCTGAAGAGGTTTATCTTTCTTAACATTTCATATATTCATATTCTTTTCTCTAAAAGTAATTTTAGTATTGTTTATCTTAAGATGGGATCAGTTAACATATCTTTTCTGTGTTAGAGAACTCTGATACGTTATCTGGAAGGAGCAAAAGGTCATTGTATATCCACTGAACTGGTTCCTGTATTTCTTGTTTTAGTAAAGATTGTTCCATGGGCAATCAAGATTGCCTTGGTCTTTTTCGAAGATGGAGCTATTTGAGGCCATGAAGTTTCAGATTCTTTGTTTGCATTTGTTGTTTAGACCATATCCATCCATATCTGTCTGCTTTAGATGTTTGTGTCTCCTTACCCATCGATGAATGGGGCAACCATTTTACAGGGGGATGATGATCTGGAATTCCTACTTGGGACTGACAGCACTCTGGTTGAAGAGAGTATAAAGAAGTATTCTGATGAATTATTGTCAACTGTAAGTTCTACAAAAGTTTGGCTTCTCTGCCATCTAGGCCATCCTTTGTCGACCTGTGGCTTAATGTCAGTATAACTGGATAAGTTTCATACTCCAATTGCTGATAATAGATAGCTGAAACTGACTTGTTCTCAGCTAGCCCACATGGAGAAAAAACTCGAAGAACTTCTCGACTCTGTAGCTTCTACTTGCAGGTATCTGCGTTCATGCTACACATAAAATTAGGTTGCTTCCTTTCTTATTGTCAAAATTATATGAGCAAGTTCAGAATCAAATATAGAGAACATAGCTTCACAATCTAGATTTTGATCACATTGTCTGAAGTTCGCAACTTGAATCTTATATAGACCCATGACCAGCACAGAGAAGCAGCAGCTTCAAAGGATGATCCGGAACCTGCCACCAGCAAATTTTGATCGCATAGCTGATATCGTCCAGCGCCACAAGCCGATAGAAGCGCAGCAATGTGAAGAAATCGTTGTTAACATGGAGCAGGAGGTAAGTAAGAAGTTATAGCTGCTAAATGATGTTATATTCTTTTGTCAGAATGGTATTGACACTTCTCCTTTCTTTCCAGGATACTACTACACTCTGGAGGTTGTATTACTATGTTCAAGTAGTGGAGCGCGCTAAGAAACTCGTACCATAAGCAGCTGTTATTGTCTTCCCGCTAGCTGAGAATCCTTTTGAGAGTGTCCAATTCTTGACTGTTCATAACTTGATAAATAGGTATGATAAAATTTGAAACTATTTCTGGGAGGTTGCTGAAAGCCATTTCTCATATTTCCTTTGCATCATTGCATTCTTGTTTGTGACATCTTACTGGAGATCAAACTAGTGAACAACGGTTCAATATGTAATGCCAAAACCATGCTGAACAATATAATAGCTTTACAAAACTATGACATATATCTAACCGTCGGTTTGTTCATAAACAGGTTTGAAATTCTTGTAAGCAATGACAGCATAGAAGGGATCTTTTGACGAACCAGACAACAATTCGAGGAACCCCATGTACCAAGGCCTCTCTCTGTCTTCTCCTCCCATCCTGCCACCAGGCGATCTCCTGACGACCTCTGCCTCAGTGAATCCTACCAGACTGGAAATACTGTACCACGAGCTGCACTCTGCTGTAATCACTGCCATCTCTCCACGAAGTAATAGCCTTTTCATAGAACATTCGATTGCTGAAACTCACTATGAACACTCCTCCTGGTCTCAGCACGCTGAAAATTTCAGCAAAAACCTGAAAAATGTGTTCATACACAAGAGAGAGATGTGTTGAGTGCAGTTTTGGTGGCTACTTTTGGTAGCATCTTTAGTCATTAATCAGACATTATTTCTTCGTCTTATGTTTCTGTGCCCAAATATATTCGACATTTGAGTGTAATCATGTATATGCACACAGGTTTATTACTGATTTTGTCGTTGATCTTGCTTATGTCAGTTCAGCGTTCGATGTCACATACACGACCGAATATATTCAAGTATCTACCTGCTCTGGATACTGCAGATATTGGACGCTGACGGTGCACAAAACAGCATCAAAGCTCGAGCTCTCGAGCTCGAGCCTCTGGTCCCGATTAAGATCCTTTACGAAGAAGTAATCCAGACGAGGATTCCTCGCAAGCTCCTGGGCGTTAAGCCCGTGACCCACCACTCTCTTGAACTCCATTTCTTCTGGCAGATGGCTGACCCACGAGCTCATCAGGTCAAGAACCTCCGACCCGGATTGCAGCCTCCGCCTGTAGAGCTCCGTCAGCGCCGAGATGAACCCACCATCGACGTGAGTGACGAACCTCGGGTAGGCGTAGAAGTCCCTGTCCGATCTCAGGTCGAGCTTACCCCGCCCCTGCTGGGTCAGAACCTGACGCCTGATTTTGCCCGGTTGAGACCTGTTGTCGTCCTCTTCGCTTGCATTCGTGGTGGAGGCTGAAGCTCTCGGAAATTTCAGCCGTGGAGGGGTGTTTTTGTGGGCGATGGCCGTCGGCAGAGGCGACGGTGGCTGCCATGGGCGGAGCATTTTTTTGGTGGTTAATTGAGTTCCCGGGAGAATTATGTGATGGGAAAATGATAACAGTTGATCGGCGGTTAGAGGAAGGAAGGGACCATAGGCCCAACTAAGGATGGGCTTTTATGGCGGGCCGGATACAAGTTCAGGCCCATGAACTGGATCCATTTTGTTCGAATATTTCTTCTTTTTCTCTCCTTTCGCCACCTTTGATCTGCCACTGCGAAAAAGCTGCAATCTTTGGACTTTTTTACGCGCGCCATTATCAGATTCTCCCCCAAATTACTTTCATTTTCCAATTGATTCGTAGCTCTCTTTAGTTCAATTTGTGCCTTCCTTACTGATCGTCCGTCCGCTACTGTTGTTTCTCCAGGTTTGTTTCAGTGAATCATTTTAGAAAAATTCAGTATATTCCGGCTGGTTTCTTCTTCGGATTGTGTAATTATTCTCTCATTTGTCGATTTAGGGTACTGGGTTCTATTTCCCTTCTGTTTTCTGGTGGAGGGTGGACGAATTTGTGTTTTGGGCTTTTCTAGAACTGCACCAAATCTTCACCTCCAACTTTTGGTGATGGCGGACTTGCCTAGCAGAGCATTGGTGTTGTACGGTGATGGATTGGCTAATTTTGTTGATTCATCTCACGTCCATCTCCACTCGCTTGCATCTAAAGCTTCTTGTGGCTTCCTGAGCCTCCCTAATGCCCCTCCATCAGGTTCAATCTCACTCGACCCTCTTCCATTTTTATTTTTATTTTGGTTTGTCATACCCTGCTGATGAAGGAATTTCTGTATTCATGACATTAGATAGGGGACTTGAAATTGCTGTATTTGTTGCGTGCATTGCGCTTCATTTGATTTTTCAAAGATTGAAAATTTCTAATTTCATGGTGGGAACATAGGTTTGGAGATTCGAATGTACTGGTTTGCATTCTGGTTAAAGCTATTGGTATTGTAACTGTCTGAGACTTTTCTGGTATTGGGAGTGCAGAAACTGAGGATGAGAGGATAGTTAGGGAATTCGCTTTGCTTATGGACTCTTGGGATGCCGCTTACAAGGGCACGGTATGATCTCTGGTCTTGGAATTCTGTCACTTCAATGCTGCAAAGGGTTTAGTGACAAATTGTTGGTTTTTTCTTTCAGAATAACGCCTCAACTCCATCCATTTCAGATAGGTATCGTAGCATTCGATTTACAATTTCCAATTCATATCAAAATACTTAATACTAAATCATGTCAAAAATACCCGTGTTTGCCTCTTGCTCTTCAGGTTCATGGGAATGAAGGCTGCCATAGTTACCAAGAATCCTTCTTTGAAATCTTTTGGTGTTAAACTTGGCTTCACTGTACTGCCATCGGATGATGTTTCGTCGGATTCTATGGGTTTAGAGTTGATGAAGCTGCTGGGGTTTCAACAAGGAAATGTGGTAGACACTAATCAATTTGATCTAGTGTTTGTGCACATGGGTGCCGGGGAAAGAGAGGGTGGTGATAAAGACGATTTTGGTGCCAAGACTGTTGCTTTCATTGATTCTCTAGTTGCTGCAATAATGAATGCAGCACAACCTGGTTCAGCAATTGGCTCGCGTCTACACTTGTCACTTGTGATGAGCTATGGATCCGTTTCGGAGATCAACAGTGCTGAAACTTTGGTTTTGATTTCGAATAATGAGCTGAATCCCAAGCTTTTGGGGCTTTTTCCTCGACAGAGTTACACCATGAGAGGGGAACAACCCCGACCTGATGTCAGGTACGAACATGGAAGTTTAAAACACGTCTGACAGATTTTTCTAGTTTCTTGCCCTTGTGAATTAATCATTATATTTTATCTCATCTGCATTCATTAGGCACAACGGCCCAATGTTAGTTGCTCAATTGCAATATGCTGTGACCCGAATGGACAAAGCGCAAGTGTTTGCTTTTAAAGATTTCAAAGAGGTATGTCTGCTGTTACTTTGGTTTTAGAACGTTACTTGATTATCTGTTTCCAGCTTTCCTTATTGCTCAACATTGCATTGCCTCTTAGCTTTTGGATTGCCTTAGGTTTGTTAGAATTGCTAGTGTCCTGTAAACGTCATGGCTTCATTTTGCAAGTTCATTTTCCAAACTAGTGCTGCGCGCATGCACTCTGGCATAGTCCTCGTTTGGGGGTGTCTAAGCATATGTTTGTTGGCATCATAGCACCATAGTTCTGAACCTACACCGTTTTGAGTTCTGGTAGGATATTGCGATGAATGTCCCATGTTTAAGCTTGATGTTTCTTTGTTTTGCAGCATGGTGGAAACCTCGTAATACCAGCTGATCGGTTTCTCCATGAAGTTGCATTTAAGCTGTGGAAGGCTCCAAAATATGGAGCTTGATCTGGGCTTCCCCTCCCAATTCCAGTTGTTAGTCATATGACGTCCCCAGTGCCTTTAACATAGGGATCTTAGTTTAGATATGCTGTACTTTATTTGGTCATTTGCTGATGCATCCTGTTCTTGTAACCAATAGCTGCTCACAGAGTTCAAAATAAGGAATATATGGTGCAAAATTATGTGACTTGAACTAACGAATTTTGTCACCCTCTTCTTCTTCTCCTCCTCCTCCTGTCTTTGCATATTTGTTTGATGATGAATGAGTACCATGTACCATGGAAATGGATCTTCTCAAAGCATAGTGTGATTTTGCTTCGATACTCTAATTTGAATGTTATCTTTTGTTCAAATTTCATTGCAACCCCATTATATACAAATAAAATCCCCTAATCGAGACCAGATTAGTTCAAACGTGCTTTTGATTTGGTTTCCATCTCCTTTATTTTGCATTTGGTCCTTATATCAATTCAATTCAAATTTATACCAAATTGGATCATCTTCAAATAGTAGCGTCCTATCTAACATAACATTGCACATCACTCCTCTTGAAAGCGTAACCAATTTGGGTTAAGGCTATGGCAAAAAAAACCAATTTGGGTTAAGGATAGAATTTTCTTAACTTTATGTGTGTACTAGTCGTTTGATTGAGGAATCGTACATTTTACTGGTTCGGTGACATAATAGCTGGCAACTCCATATATTTAAGAAAATATCACCATATTGTATATTTATTTATTTTTTTTGACAAAAGATATCATGTATTGATCAAAGAATAGACAGTTACACCCTGGAAACCAGCCAGGTCTGGAAATCGAAAAAGCGACTCATAGTCGGATACAAAGAGAGGGCTTTCCTAGCTACCAAATGAGCTACCCTATTGTTCTTCCGACCTACAAAACGCACACTAAACCCCGGTTGAGTATGAAAATAATGAGCAATCTCTTCTAGTACAGCACCCAACCGGCTATCTCTTGTGTCGGCTTGATTAATTTTATCAATGATCACCTTCGCATCGCCCTCAAATCGAACCTCCGATAAACCTTGCTCCACACACCAAATAATTGCCTCTCGAAGCACCATATTGTATAGAATTGTATAACTATGTGTTCTTGAAATGCCAAGACGAGATTCTGACCAATTTAGAGATTTCTAAATTTACATTGCATGAGGCAAACTATAGGGACAAGTTCAATGCCTCTTCAAGTCCTTAGCAACCGCTTGCTTCACGAGGCCCTTAATCGAGTACTTATAACAACACGATCCCACCAAAGTCCAAACCACCAGATCATTTAACATTGCACGAGTGCCATACTCAAAACAACTTAAAGCCAAACCAAATTCCCCATTTTTTCTTGCCTCCTCGCTCCTTTTTGTTGAAACCATAAGAAAGAGGACCCGACAATGGTAGGAAGAAACGAAACAAGGGAGGGAAAGCACAATCATGACAACAGACGTACACAATATTTTATGATCCATGAAGCTACATGCGATTATACAAATAGGTTGACAATTTTCTTTTGGTCGGACTTGCATTGAAGTCATCCCCATCAAACACAAGCATATAGCCAATAACTTTGCGTTTGTTTTAAGTGGGGTTTTCTTCTATGGAGGGTTAGGGTCATTTGACTCAAAGTTGCAAGGAATTTTCAGTTGTTGTGTTGAGATTGGTTTTCGTTGTGGAGTTAGAAATTTGAATGAGGATATTAACTTAAATCATAATAATTGTGATAGGGAAATTAAGGCCTTATAAATTACTATATTTTCTAAATTTGTTATGAATTATATGTTAGAAACCGAATCATCCCAACATTATATATGTAATTTTATCAATATTCAAATTTGATAGAGGGCTGTAGCCCCTCCTGACTTCAAACTAACTCATATTAGAATCCTAAACTACATAGTATAATGCAATGAATAGGATTCAAAGGTCTAGTTTGTTGAGTTGAATATGAGATCAAGTCTCCACTTTATGCCTTATAATTTATTTAACTTTTATCTGTTAACATTTTCTCTAGATTATCTATCTTTTATGTCTTATATTATGCAATAACCTTTGACATGAGAGTCTAGAACATGTGTCATTCTCACTTCTCCACAGATTTTGGTTTGCATAAAAACAAAAGATCGTCTGAATATATAGGTTGAATCGAAATTCAAAATATATTGTGATTGGATATCTCAAGTGATATGACCAATACTCATTTCTTCTTTCTTTTTAATGATGTCGATATTTGTTTATAGTAAAATTATTTTATCATGCCACGGGAATCAATAAGGCTAGAAATCGTACTTTATGTGTACATGACATGCATGCACTATATATGCACCCACATGATACATTATTCCAAAAGGAACTTATCACAAAAATCGTACTCTCTTAAGTAGTATCTTACCTTCATAATAGTTTCATCTTTCATGTACTTGGGAATACTTTTTTGATAAGAAATTTTCACTTGGATATGATAAACACCTCACACTGTCAATTTATTAAATTCTAGCTATATATATCCAAAAGAAATGGATACTCCAAATCCTTAAAATAAAGTATCTACTTAATTTCTCACACTTTGAATACCAATTGATTCCATTCCTAACTACACGTTCTGTGACCTTTTATGTACTTAGACCCGAAAAAATAGACACTATTTTTTCCTAATCAATTCACATTATCATCAAACTCTTTTCTTAAATAATCCAAAATCTATCACCAAACTTTCCTTAATAACAAACATATATAAATCCCTTGCCCCCTTTCAAAGGGGAGACACAGACAGAACAAAAGGACCACAAGTTGATTAGTAGCGACAAGTGAGAGAGAATTTCTCTTGTTCCAATTTTTCTGAATCTCAAAATGGATATGATGCCTCTTGATCTTCCAACACTCTTTCCTCTCCTTTTAGCCCTTTTAGCGACGGCTTTACTCCTTCTCCGTCGCCAAAAACACCCCAAGAATGGTTGTTGTAATGTCCCTAAAGGCACCATGGGATGGCCCTTCATTGGAGAGACTCTCGAGTTCCTCAGCCCCCATAGATCCAACTCCATTGGCACCTTCCTACAACAACGTTGCTCAAGGTAATAATTCCAACAACCATGATTATTGTCATATCATCACCAATTGAAAAATAAACACCATCAATTCCGTTAGGGTCGGTCGAAAATGGGATATATATGTGGTGTGGAGATTTGAGGAGGTGAAGGTAGGCAAACCCATATTATGAATCATATCAATTGACAATGGGATGGAATGGTTTTTGGATAGGGAAACCACACACATATGTGTTTTACTCTCACAATTGTGAGTAGGCTGTGTAGTATTAATCTCAGTCACCATGATCTTAGTTTTTTTATTTGTTTGTGCAGATATGGCAAAGTTTTTAAGTCACATTTGTTCGGGTCACCAGCTATAGTGTCGTGTGACTACGAGTTCAACATGTTCATCCTTCAGAATGAGGGAAAGCTATTCCAGGCCAGCTACCCTAAGGCCATGCAAGGGATTCTCGGGCAGTACTCGTTGTTGATCGTCTCCGGGGAGCATCACAGGAAGCTTAGGGGGATCGCAGTGAGCTTCAGCGCGATGTCCAAATCTTCACCTGTGTTTCACTCTCGTATTGAGAAGCTCGCATTCTCAATGTTGGAGTCGTGGAGAGGGCGCAGAGAGATTGCCTTTCTCGAAGAGATGAAAAAGGTAAAAAAAAAAAAAGTAAATTCCACATTGATTAATATTGATCATGGATTCCATTTTTCTGATTGATCTCTCTAAATTTTTTTGGTTACAAAATCTTCTAAATAATGGTTTTTCAGTTCACTTTGAGTTTGATGGTGAAAACCGTTTTGAGCATCGACCCGGAAGAACCAGTGGCCATGAGGTTTTTGCAAGATTTTAGAACTTACATGAAAGGCTTCATATCCTTGCCACTAAACGTTCCAGGATCTGCTTATGCCAAAGCTGTCAAGGTAACAACCCCCAAAAATACTGTGTTTTTAACGAGTAATCCAATTGCAACTAAAACTAAGATTCAGAGTGTTCTTAGGTGGTTAACCAAAAGGAAAAACGACAAGATGCGAGATTTGTGCAAATCTTTTCTACTTTCAGTAACGAGGAATCTTCGTCTTATCTTATTCAATGAGCATGTAGAAAAATAGAGAAATTATACCACGAGAGAAAACATAGAGATCATGACTTGACGTTGTATGCGGGAAACCACAGAAGAAAACATCCACTTTGAGATTCAGTCACTCTATTTTTAAGATTCAATATTGATTCAAATTGACTCGGCACATACTAATTTAATTGCTCGCATTTTTATGGTGTCGAGAGATCTCGTATATGAAATTATCGGAATTTCTTATCAATTAATCTGTTATTCGTGTTTTTATGATGAATAAGAAACAATTGACCACACACAACATATAGTTGGATTGTGACCAATAACTTAATCTACTCGAACTATTGTAACAAATTTGATTTTTGCACTACGAAAAAACAGTTCCTACTTACGAGAGTTTAATGACCGCAAGACCAAAATTCTCGTATAAAAATGACTTTGAATGATGAAATGTAAGTTGTCAATACTCAATACCGTCTATATTTATTGTAATAACAATACGTGTGGTCGGTAAAGATTGGATTAGGATTAGCGAGGGGAAGTTGCGGTGAGTAATGACCTTTTATTTTTAGTCTCTCTAGGTAGGTAGGATGCTGTAATTATACTAACCAAACGCCCGATTTATGTAATTTTTACAGGCGAGGGCAAGGCTTTCGAGGACGGTCAAGGAGATAATAAAGCAAAGGGAAATGACGACTACTACTCCGGCGCCGGCCAGAACCTGTAGTAACGACGGCAACTGTGGTGATGGAATTACGACGACCTCGTCGGGAGAGGAAAATGGGGACTTCCTGGAAGTGATATTGTCGAAGCACAGCAGCATAAGGCAAATGAACGATGACGAGAAAGTGAGCAGCGTGTTGGACATTGTGTTGGGTGGCTACGAGACCACTTCCACCCTCATTTCCCTCATCGTCTACTTCCTCCACCGTTCACCTGCCGCGCTCCTAGCTTTCAAGGTACACATTTTCGAAAATTCGAATTATTGGAAACGAAGTATAGGGTTTATCAAAATATGTGTGAGAATATCATTTATATTAGAGGACTAGTTGATATGGTTATATGGGTTGGATAAATCATGAGTTATTGAACCATATTTTCATAGTTTGATATATTAGTAGAAACAACAAATGGGTGGGTTTGGTTCGAGGTTGGTTCGTTAGTGT